GGTGGAGAACGCTTTCCTCCCTACTCACCAAACCAACACCAGGAATGCTGCTGGAATTTGGTCGGGGGAAGGAAACGCATCTTCCCATCTCACATACTTTAGGGTAGGCAATCAGACACTGAAAAAAAACCCCAAACCCCCAGCAGAATTTGCACGCTTACTGTGGAATATGGAATTGGATGCTTCCCTGTGCCCAAGTCAATTAACTTGTACCCCAACATCTGGTTTTCTGGGGGCCATTTTTTCTCTAAGTCCTTACAGTTATTGTGGAGGCTGACTGCTCTCATTTAGTGGAATTCTTAGTTCTACCTTATTTCCCTACTGGAACTGTCAAAGAAGGGAGTCTTACTTAGGCCTTCTTTTTTTTATTATAGTTTCTATTTTCCTTCCCAGAACATGCATTTTTCAGCTGCTTTGCAACAGTGCTATCAGAAGCCTTCTAAGCACAACTCAGTAAAAATACGTCATTTGGCAAGAACCTGGTCATGTTGTCTAGGAAAATTATGAACAGAAAGTATCTGGAGTGTCCTTCTACTTCTAAATGAAGTGTAACTGCATTCACACTTTTTACACACAAGGGTATTTATTTCACTTTAAATGAATAAATATAAGGTCTTAGGACAAAAGTAACAGTCCCAGAAGACTAACATCATTGAGAAAATTAAAGGCCCTTTCTATTATATGCAAGGGAAACATGTTTAAAGAAACAGTGGCAGGACAGACATTTTGGGGGCAAGAGACACCATCCAGGGTTGCCAGTTCCTCCCCTCTACCACTTTTTCCCCAGATATGAAACAATCAGGCATAGCACACAAACTTACAGGAGAAAAAGAATGAAAAGACAACGCTGGAAAAGTAAAATGATCCGTAATAATTTCTACCACATAATGAAAGCATATGCATTTTCTTTAGGCAATGAATTATCATGTACTCGATCCCCCAGGGGGAGAGCTCGCTCGCTCTGGGTTTGCCAGGGGCAGCAGTATCTCCAACCGAAGGCAAAGGAAGAGAAAGAAAAGCGCTAGCCCCCTCCGCCGGGACCCAATACGGCGAGCAAGCCTCTCCCCAGCATCGCCTCCCGAGGGGCCGAGAGAGCCGGGCACCCACCTTCCGGAGAGCACGGCACTGGGCGTTGTCTGCGGCGAGCCGACCTCAGCCCCACACCGCCGAGCTCGGCGAGGCCCGGCCCGAAGGTAAGCAAGGCCCGGGCCGAACAGAACCACCTCAAGCCGCGCCGGTCAGCGGTAGGATGAGGGGTAGTGGGGTCTCTTTGTCGGGCCCCCCGAGGCGGGGGCGGCTCCCCTGCCCCCCCCGGGACTCGCCCTTCGCGGCCGCCATTTTATTCCCGGCTTCTGCCGCCACCGCCCCCCGAACCGGGCCCCGCCCAGGCCCAAGCCACCCACTCGTTCAGGCCCCCCATCCCCAGCTCCACCAGCCCCTCGGGGCGCTCCCAGTCGCCATTTTGTCTGTGCCCCCCTCCTCCACCC